CCGCGACCGTGGTCAATTGCAACGTGGTCAATCGGGATCGTGGTCAATTGCAACGTGGTCGATCGGGACCGTGGTCAATTGCAACGTGGTCAAGTGAAAAGGATGCTGGTCTGGTCGACGACGACGACGACGACGACCAGGACGAGGACGAGGACGACGACAAAGATGTTTCTTAATCCAAAATTTCACAAAACAAACTTTGCATTGCAATTGCATTGCAATACCTCCACTCCTGGGGCACGTACGAGAAAAGTAAAAACACTTTTATTATGCAAATCGTACCCAAGCTATCGATTAAACGCAGTCTGAAGTTCGTCGGATCAGCCGTTATTGAGATCCGAAAATCTGAGGGCCCGTCAACTCGTGTACTCGCGTAATCTTACACGGTCGTTCTCGCACGCGTGTACTAGCTACGCTTACACTTGGCGCGAGACACTACCGTGTCTCGTGATGTAAAAAAATTTCTTGTACAATATATTATGTATTCATACTTGTAGGTATAAAATGTCTTGTATATATTCATACTTGTATTTTGTAGAGCTGTTTGTTACACACATTTATATACAGGGTGTATCATTTTAAGTGATGCAGCTAAATATCTTAAAATAAAAGAGATAGGAAAAATGTTTTAAACAATAGTTTTATGGTTCCAAGGGAGGCAGAAGTTGGCCATGTCAGTTTAATTGTAGGTGGCGCCACTTTCGAAATTTCTACATTGCGGCCATTTTTGCAAATGGCAACCGATTCTTATGTTCCAGTAAATGTCGTAGGCGACATGGAGATGAATACAACGGTTTTTTATTTTTTGAAATTGGATCATTTTTCACTGATTGTGAGTTACAGTGTTCCAAAGTTTATAATTTAAGTAAAAGGCTTCGACCCCCATACGGTGTGCGTATTTTGTGACTTCAAACTGTCCTCTCTCTCTCTCTCTCTTCCCCCTCTCTCTCGCTCTTTCTCTACCTCTCTCCTTCTCCCCCCCTCTCACTCTGTGCGTGCGCGCACGTGTTTATGTGTGTTGTTTCTATCCGTTATCCCTTACGAAAAAAACACCCAAGATTTTGGTGTTTACACTCAATTTTCGGCGTCAACGCCAAAATTTTTAGTGTTAACACCGACATTTGAGCATCGACACCGAAACTTTGGGTGTCGACACCAAAATTTGAGTTTCGACACCAAAATTTGAGTGTCGATACCGAAACTTTGGGTGTCGACACTCAAATTTTGGTGTCGACACCGAAACTTGAGTGTCGATACCAAGATTTGAGTGTCGACACCAAAATTTGAGTGTCGACACCCAACTTTTAGTGTCGACGACACTCAGGTTTCAGTGCACCCAACTTTTGTTTGGGACAATCTACCTTCATACAATTCGGCATGGTCAAAAATTACCACACACCCTGTATATCTAACTTTGAATTATATATATGTATATACATATATATATCTTCATGTACATATATATATATAAATAAAGTTTAAATATTATAAAAAGAACTACCAATCAATTAAAAAGAACCTCCCATTCCTTCCCGCTAATTTTAAGATTGCACCGGGTCCGTCCCCGGGTAAAGAGATTAAATTCTCTGACCCAAAAGAGGACCCACGGGCGTGTAGGAGCTCGAAGGGCGTCATAGCGAGCTTTGGCTCACTGACCCACTTCGAGCCCTTTAATAGATACGCCCGACTCTCGACGCGCATCTGTTCGAGCGCGGCGAGAGAAAACAGTGTTCTCTGTGCGGCGTCCTTCCACATAGTCAGTCCCGATAAAAAGGGACTTGAGATAGTGGACGCTCCGTGGAGAACACGACGTAACAATACTTTCAAGAAACATCGTAGTAAAGTTAGATTTCTCTCTTAAAGCTTCCTCTATGAGGAAGCCATAACAATGGAAGCAATGTGCAAATTTCTAATTTGCCTACTTTAATGATGAAGAAGAAATGTGCAAATTTCCAATTTGCACGCTTCAATGCTGAAAAAGCAATGTGCAAATTTCTAATTTGCACACTTTCAAGAAACATCGAAAAAAATTAGATTTCGCTCATAAAGCTTCCTCCATGAGGAAGCCATGTGCAAATTTCTAATTTGCACACTTTACTTTACTTTACTTTTTTTTCATTACTTCCCATATTTTTTCTCTGTCCACGGAGTCGAATGCTGCTTTTAGATCTATAAATGCCGTCACTATTTTCCCTCTTTTTTTGTTTATCGCTCTTCCTATAATGTAGTTCAGTGCATATATATTTTCCATTGTACCCCTTTTTTTTCTGAATCCTACTTGTGTTTCCGGTAGTATTCCTCTTTCTTCTACTTCTCTCTCCAGTCTTTTGTTCAGGATTGCTGCGTATATTTTGTAGCTTGTGTTCATTAGTGTCACCCCTCTATAGTCCTGTGCTTCTTTTCCTTCCCCCTTTTTTGCTATAGGAACTATGATGCCTTCTTTCCAATCTTCTGCTATTTCTCCTGTTCTCCATGCCTCGTCACATATTTCCCATATTTTTTCCTTCAGCTTTTCTCCTCCGTGTATCCATACCTCGTTCGGTATTCCGTCTGCGCCTGCGGCTTTTTTCCCTTTCATTTCTTCTATTACTTCTTCTACTTCTTTTCTTCTTATTCCTTCCATCTCCTCTTTGTTTTCTTTTCTTTCCTCTCTCTTCATGTTTTCTTCCTGTGGTTTCGCCGTTGTTCCTTCTAATATCTCCATGAAGTGTTTGTTCCATTGTTCCTCTGTTATTTCTTCGCATACCTCTTTTCTACTTTTTCTTTCTCTATTTATGAATCCCCATATTTCTTTCTCATTGGTTGCTTCCTTCATTATTCTTTCTCTTTCTATCTCTTTTTTCTCTTTGATTTTCTCTTCGTATTCTTTCTTCTTTTGTGTGTATCTTTTTTTTCTACTTCCCCCTTCCTCCATTAGGTTAAATTCTCTCTTGCTTCTCTCCTTAGTTTTGTACATTCATTGTCCCACCATCTGTTCTTTATCTTCGTTCCCTGCTCTTCTTTTATTTCTTTCCATTCCGCGGCCTGTCTTGCCATTTCCTTTATTCCTTCCAGTTTTTCTTCTATGCTCTCACCCTCTATTCTTGTCTCTTTCATTCTCTCCTTGTATTTTTCTATTCCCTCTTTTGTCCAGTTCATTATTTTCCTGACTCTTTTTTCTTTTTTCTTTCTTTCTCCCACTGTTCCTTTTACTTTTATTATTACAGGCTGGTGGTCTGACTCAATAGCGTCTCCAATCTTAACTTCTTCCGTTATCTCCCAGATTTCTTGGTTTCCAATTATGTAATCTATAACTGATTCTCCTCTACTTCCTATGAAGGTGAATTCTCCGTCTTTGTCTCCCTTTGTTCCGTTCATTATTCCCAGTCCTTCCTCCTCTACAAACTCCAATAGCTTCCTGCCTTCTGCGTTGGTTTCTTTGTCTTTCGACTTTCTTCCTTCTCCCATTATCTCTGTTAATCCTCCTTCCTCTCCTGTTCTTGCGTTAAAGTCTCCTCCTATTATTATTTGCTCCCCTACGTGGCCATCATTTGTGTACTCCTTTATGTGTTTTATCTTCTTTTCTATATCATTGTTTACGTATATCGCTATGATCCTCCATTTGCCTTCCTTTGTTTTTGCTGTTCTTTCTACAATTCCTTCTTCTTCCCTTTCTTTTGTTCCGTCTTCGGCTATTTCTTTCCTGACTCCTGTTATTATCCCTCCTCTTGCTCTTCCTTTCTTTTTTTCTTTCTTTGCTGACTGGCATTTCCATACATAGTTATCCGGTAGTCTCTTCTTAATTTTACCCAGTCTTTTTGTTCTACCCATGTTTCTAGCATCGCTATTATATCCCATTTTTCTATCTCTTTCCAGAATTCTTCATTTTTTCTCATTAGTTCTGCTATATTCCAGAAGCCTACCGTCATTGTGTCTGCCTTCTGTTCTTTTTGCTTCCTTTCTTCTTGCCTTTCCCTCTGTATCTTCTTTCGTTTTCTTCTGCTTTCTTTGGCCTCTTCCTTCTTATCCTCTTTCTTTTTCTTACGGCTTCCGAAAGCTCTTTCTCTCTTCTAACTTTTCTTTGCTTTCGTTCCATTTAAATTCTGTGTTGTCCACCCATATCTTTTGGTAGCCTATTTTGGTTCTCTTGCCTGCTTCTCTCTCCTCCTTTGCTATTCTTCTTATTTCTTTCTGTATCTTTCTTTCTGTTTTTGTGAGATCATCGTCCATGAAAACTTCGTATCTCTTTCCTAACTCCTTCCTTTTTGTCATTATCTCTCTTTTATCTTCCCAGCTCCTGCATTTCAGCATTATCATTTTGTTTTCTCCTGTTCCTATTTCCTGCATTTCCTCGATTGCCACTTTGTTCTTGTTTGTCTCCTCTATCTTCATCCTGATTTTTTCTTTCTTTTCATTCTCGCTTCTTCTTGTCGCTTCTTTGACGATTATGTTGTTTCTCCTTCTTCTTCTCTCTCCCATTTCTATGTTTTTTCTATTTCTTTCATTTTTTCTATTATCATTCCTCCTTCTTTCCCTCCTTCTCTTTCCGTGTCTTCCTTCTCAGCTTTCTCTTCCAATCTTTTTATTCTCTCTTCCATTACCTCTCTTTGCTTCCCATATTTCTTCTCTCCTCTTGTACTCTTTCTTCAGTTCCTTTATTTCGTTTTTTATTTCTTCCTTATCTTTTTTTCTTTCCTTCTCTTGATCTTCCATTCTCCTTAAAATTTCTCTCAACATTTCCTCTGTTGCCATGTTCTTTTTTTTTCCTTTTCTTTCTTGTTCGGTGGTGATCTATCAATTTTTCTTAGTGCGTTAAATTTCTCTATTATTTCTTTCTCTGCTTTTGCTGTTTCTTCTCCTATTTCTTCTCTTTTCCTTTTTTGTAGAAATTCTTTTATTGATCCTAGACTATCCGTTTTCCCTCTCTGCTTTCCCAGCTCTTCTGCTCTCGTTGGTCTACCTTTTACTCTCCTTCTATTTTCGTCCTCTCTCTTGTCTTCTTTGTCTCCTTGCTGCTTCTTTTCCGTTGCTTTTTCTCCTTCTTTCCCCATCCGTCGGTACACTTATCCGCCTCTTCCCTGTCGGTTATCTGTTTCCTGCTGCTGTCGGTAAGTTCCATTCCTTTACTTTGTCTTTTCCTCCGGCAGTTGTCGCCTCTTTCCTTCTTATCTCCCTCGTGTTTTTACCTTTCACTCTAACCTAATTCGTCTTCTACCTGTTCCTATAATGCTTCTTAAATTATAATTCCGTTCTTTATGTCTGACCTACCTTATCTCTCCTTGCTCTCCTGCCTCCGCTCTCTCTGTCCTTCCGTCTCCTTTCCTTTTCCTCCCTCCAAATCCACTACTTTTCGCACTCTTCTTCCTCTGTCGCTCAACACATCTGCTCACTTCAACTGTCGTTAAACGTCTATAGGCGGCCTATATAATTATTATATATAAATATATTTTAATTTAAAACGTAAAAAGTACCACCTTCGATAGATTTAATTTTATTTCGGGATTATTTATTTTAAATACAGTTTTCACACAGATTCCTTCTTCTTATTCCTTATTAATTTCCTTATTCCTTATTCTTATTCCTTATTTCTTTCCGATTTCTTATTCTTATTCTTATTCCTTATTCTTCTGCTTGAAATTACGGCTTGCATTTTTGCACTTGTCGGATACTGCTTTTTTGAAAATATCGTCTACATTTGGCATTGTTTTTGTAAAGTATTGTAGGACATAATCTTTGAAAAAATGAAAAACAATGCAATAAATAAATATATAAATATAGCATATGATTGAATCAAGATCGATGTATTATTTTTTGAAATGTTTTTCTATACCTCTTAGCGCAATGTATCTCGCATCGTTTTGAATCGATTTTTTCCGTCTCCTTTATTCGTTTTTTTCCAGTTCTTGAAAAATTGGTTAGCTCTTGCCTTTCAAACAATGCGCCAAGCAGTCCGCAGGGCATCAGACCTACTTTCGTTTTGTTGATATTGCTTAAAATTTTTTCATCAATTTTTATACTTGATGACCCCAGCGAAACCATATTAAACTAGAAACATGAAAATCCGTAATTAAATTATAAAAATATATAACGATATAATAGAATATTTTCCATATCCCAAGAAATTCCTATTACTGTACGTACATCTCGTGCATTATTTGTATCAGTTTCTTTGAGTTTTCCGGTATTATTTTTCACTGCATCTTCAGAAATATGCAATAAACTTTCTCCAGTATATTCATTCATATCCTCAAAATTCAATGTGTCCACTCTATCTTTTTTATCATTCAGCATTTTTGCTGTAGTATTGCGGTTATTAGCAATCTAAAAAAAATAATTATTTAGTAATTAGTATATATGGTGGTTATATAATATTTTTAAGTCGTTAAAAATAACATTTTGTTGCCTGAATAAGTATAGCGTATGTCCTATGATATACACACGCACATGTGTGCGTGCGTGCGTGCGTGCGTGCGTGCGTGCGTGCGTGCGTGCGTGCGTGCGTGCGTGCGTGCGTGCGTGCGTGCGTGCGTGCGTGCGTGCGTGCGTGCGTGCGTGCGTGCGTGCGTGCGTGCGTGCGTGCGTGCGTGCGTGCGTGCGTGCGTGCGTGCGTGCGTGCGTGCGTGCGTGCGTGCGTGCGTGCGTGCGTGCGTGCGTGCGTGCGTGCGTGCGTGCGTGCGTGCGTGCGTGCGTGCGTGCGTGCGTGCGTGCGTGCGTGCGTGCGTGCGTGCGTGCGTGCGTGCGTGCGTGCGT